TTATTTATAATATCTGTTTTACATTTTAGTTTTATAATTATAATTTAATTTTGATCAGCATTATAATTATTTTAATTAACTTTAATTAATTTTACATTATAATTTAATATTTCTTTAATGTTATGCTTCTAACATTTGTCATAACATTTTTATGTTTCATTAAAAATACTTAAATTTCATTAAAATAATTGTTATCAGTAATATTTTTATCAATAATTATATATATAATAAAAATTGCAATAAACATATGTATGTTCAGTAAATTGGAACTTGTATAATATATGTATGTTCAGTAAAAGATACACTTGTATTTTACATATAACACACCATAATATTCTGTAATATATTATAATTTAGATATTTTGTTAAAATGTTTTCAATCATATAAACATCCAAATCATACAAATCATTAAGTTTCCAGTGAAAGATGATTTTAAATTCTACTAAAGCTAGTTCTATGTAATACTGGAGAAAAATATTAAAATGGTTATATTAATTAATTAGATTATGAAATAAAGTTTTTATATGATATATATTCTTAATTATTTAAATTAATTTTTATATGATATATATTCTTAATTATTTAAATTGAAATATATCAATTATTTAAATTGAAATATATCAAATGAAATTTTGTATAAATATATTCCTATTGATTTGATTGTATAATGAAATTTCTTAATTAGACCTCCCTCGTTAAAAAAGATACAGATTTATGTAATTAAGAATTTAATCTTAGTTCCTTAGACAATTTACAGTTAAACGATATACAGTTATTTTGCCCTCTTTATATTCGATACAGAATTTCTTCCATAATTATCTTTTTCAAAGGTCATAAAATTTCACCAATTTAAATTGAAAAATGATGCATAATTCGAATCAAGTATATTGCTAGTAAACTAGATTTGGAACTAAATTTAAAATATAGAAATAACAGAATAACAAAAATAAAAATAAATATATTGCCTATTTATATTTCTTTTTTTTTTTAACTTTGAATCGATATTTCTTTTTTTTTTAACTTTGAATTGATATATCACTTTAGCGCAAATAGTGCTGACAGAATAATATGTATGTTTTCTTTCACAGAATTCAATTTCTGAGAAAACAATTTTAAATGGTATTTCGCTGTGTAATTGAAATTTATTTTCAAACAATGAGACAATTTAATTCCTTGAAATTTGTGTAACATAAAATTTTTATAATATGTACATATATATGAATATACATAGATTATATATCGATTAATAGTTTCATGATAATAAGCAGTAAAACAAGGTCAACAGTGTCTGATTATTAATAAATATATATCAATTGGATATTCAGAATCTCATTTCTTTTCATTCAGGAAGTTTAAAACTTTGGAGCGTATCTAACAAGACTAATTTGACTTTTTTTTTTCATAAATTGCGGACGCAGAACAGTTTTAAATTTTTTTCATTTAAGATTAAATTTAGACTTTTAGGTCATACATTATATATCCTGTTTACTTAGAAATTATTAATTTTCGTTTAGATATGATAAATTATATATCATATCATTATTATAAAAAAGTTACGTAAATACTTGCCAATAAAAGTTCAAATGAAAAGACTTCATTTTATGATATGCATTATCTACATATATATCAAGTACTTTATTCAAGTTATGACTAAGATCGTATATGAATGTAAGTGAATTTATATAAATTTATATAATCGATAGAAAAGAGAAAAAAAGTGTATAAACATATGTATACAAATAGAGATATTTCTTAAATTATAATTACAATCAATATTATAACTTTTCATACGTTAAAACTTATAATATACATATCACACATTTTTATATATTTTATATGTTATAAAAAATTACATACTGAACTTGTACAGATTACGAGGGTCTAGATTTAATAATATCAAAAGAAGATTACAAAATTTTCTAATTGTTTTGAATAAATAGTTCATCATTTATAGCAACAGAATTTGTCTCAGAATAGTCTATAATATGTACTGTGTAATGTGATAGTCTATAATATATTATATATACAATATATTATTGTTGTACTATATATTTTATATATTATAAAAAATTAACATGTATTGAACTTATAGTAGAGTCTGAGATTTAATATCAAAAGAATATTACAAAGTTATCTAATTGTTTTAAATAAATAGTTCATTTAGCAGCAGAGTTTGACTTAGAATAGCCTAGATTCTAGATGCATCTAGCAACATCATTAGGGAAACTGTAACTGGATAGAGAGAAAGGAAAAATGAATAAAAAAAAAGGAGAGGAGAGAGAGTTCATTGACCGTCAAAGAGAAGTCAGGAGCGTGACTGTAACCATGACTATGATCGTAATCCTGATCGCAGCCGTGATCGTAACCATGACCGACTTGCCTTTGCAAATCCTTAGAAAGTTCTCTGTATGTTTCACAGACATCTGTATGTATGGGTTTATTTTGTAAAATTAAAACTGAATCTCAAATATCTCTTGAACTACTAATTTTTCGACAACAATATTTTTTTATAGGGAATGGCCTACTACATCATGAAAAAACCTGTGATTCCACTTGTAAAAAGAAAATAGTATTGACCTTCATATTTCCTTTGTGCACAAATTAACTGCACTAAATGACTCGTTGAAACAGAAAAAATTATATTTTTCGAATAACGAACAGTTATGAAGATAATTGCAATTTATAGATTAAAGTGGGGCACTATATGTAGGTTATAGAAATAATCTGTTTTCGAAATATTACATTTTTCAATTATTTTATAAGGAAAAAACAGATACAAATACACATTTATATCTTTTTTATATATTTAAAAATATATAAAATATATATATAATGTATATATGATAAAAAACATATATATATAAATGTATAATATATTATAAATTTGTATATTATAAAAATATATAAATATATAAGATTAATTTTAAAGGTACGAGTTAATTTTAAAGATGATAATGATTAAATTGAATATACATATGATTAATTTAACGCAGATGATAATGATGAAATTGATTATACATACTTCTTTATGTATTGTATGATCCTGCTATCATTAACATTATTTTTTAATACCATATTTTATACAATTTTAGTATAAAAATATGTAAGAAAATATTTAAATTAAAGGACAGCTTTATAAACCAATACATATATACATTTTCGATTATTTCGTAAAATTTTTTTTTTATTAATCTATTTCTATCTACATATTAATTGTATATATTTTATTAATATATTCTTAATAACTTGCAAATACTTTAAAATAATTTTAAATAATTAACTCAAATAACAAGTAACGATTTGGTAAAATTATTGTATCTATCGTGTTCAAAAGACAAGCGTAACTGATATAAATAATTACAAATGTGTTTTAAATGTTAATTACTATCTTTTTGTCAAAAAAAATGCATTCTGCTTCGCAAAAATAACGACATTTAACTTAACCTCAAATTTGTTTTAGAAGTGTGTAATATTCATTATACTTTTTTATAAACTTTGAAACTTTACATCTTTAGAATACATTTAACAAAAAATTTTTTAACAATACAATATTCATTGTCATTAAATTCGGATAGCTATGATTTAATATAAATTTAATAATAATAAAAGCAATTAAGATCAATAAAATGTATATTGAAGAACAAGAACTATATTTATTTAATAAAATGTACTAAAATATAATTTATTTATAAAATTCTTTATAAAAATTAAATGACTGACATTATCAAACATTTTAAGTAATATAAAAATGAAATACGTTCAAAAACACAAAATCAACAATAAAACATAAATCCAATAAACGTCTTATTGAATATTAAAGTTAAATAATTACAGAATGTTGTATTTTTCTCAGAAAATGTATTTTATATTTGCAACAATCATTATCTTATCTTTGAGTATAATAATTTATCAGGTATTTTATATTTATTAATAAGATGTCATATTATTAACAGTATACATACATACATATATATATATGTTTGTATGTATAATACATATTACAATATAAAATATATCACAGCATTTAGTATATGCATATGAGTATACGTTATGTTAAAACTTATTGATGTTAATATATATTACTATTTAAATACATTAATATTTAGTTACTAAAATATATAGCTTTAATATAAATTGCCAATGTGATTAACAGATCTACTTAATTCAAATTGATGATAAATTATATCATCCAGGTATATAAATGCATCAAGTTTTTATGCTAATAATATCTTTATAAAAGTATATAAAGCAAAAATATAAAAATTAAAAAAATATTAATACATATTTTTTCATCATGCTTTTATAGCGAAACCCATAATTTTATGGTGGACACCTTTTGGAAATGATGAGAAATTACGGGATTGTGGAAATTACCAGTGTTATTTTACAAGTAACCGATCCTTTCAATACCATAAACAAATAAAAGTAATAAGTTAAAAAATAAAGTTTTATATATATGTAGTTTGTTAGAAATAAATTCTGAAAGATTGAAAATTTAAAAACTTCTAACTATTCTCTAAATTTTCATGTAGTATCATTATAAATTCAATTGTTATACATTTTTCATTCATGACTATTGAACTTATCAAAATTAAGATAGTTAGAAACTAACATTATTACTAAGTAAACATTAATCAATTTATTATTACAAAGTTAATTACTTAAAATTTATTAAATTTTATTAAATTTATTATAAATTTAATAAAATTGTTTAAATTAACTGAAATTATTATTAGAAATTTATATTGTTCTTAATTTTCAGAGTTTTCTTTTCTATGGTAGTAGTTTCCAAATTGATGATTTACCAAAGTGGAAATCTGATGAAATTCCATGGGGTTTGCTTCATGAAGAATCTCCAAGAAATAATCCAATATTACTTCAACAGAAAACATTGAATCTTTTCACATACTCTTCGACATTTAGCAGATTCAGTGATATACCTCTAACTCTTATAGATCTACCTGGAATCACAGAATTATTAAGTAAATATAATAAAGATGTACAAATTACTAAATAATATTTCTGTTCCTATTAGAGCATAATATTATAAATGTTTTTTAACACGAAAAGAAAATCATATATTTTTTCAACACAAGTCAATCAATATTAACATAATACATTATGTTAATAATTAAAAGACTAATATTCTAATTTTACAGGTAAGAAGTATTTTGTATCTACAAAAGAAAAGACAAAATTATTGCATGAAAGAAATTTGGCACCATTACTTTATATACAATCTGATTGCGATACTGCAAGTAACAGAGATATTTATGTAGCTGAATTAATGAAATATATACGTGTAGATTCATATGGCACGTGTTTAAATAATGCTCAACTTGATAAAAGGTAAAATATTGTTGCACATTTAAATAATATCGATTTTACCATTTGTATTATTTTTATAAAGAATTTAATTATAATTTAGGTTAAAAGAAAATTACCTTGAAATACTGAACAATGAAGATTTTCTTTCTTTTATTGCCAATTATAAATTTACAATAGCATTTGAAAATGCAGTCTGTGATGATTATATAACTGAAAAGTTGTGGAGGCCCTTGATTGTTGGATCTATACCTATATATTATGGATCACCATCATTTAAAGTATTAAAATTTATTATATAACTACAATCTTAATTAAAAATTATTGTAATAGATTAAATTAATTGATTTCTTTGATATAAATTTATCAATTTGATTGTAACGATGTTACAAAATTAATCAATTTCTTTGTATTTTATATTATACTTTATTCAACATCTAGAATACAGATGAGATGTTATACATATATAAATATATGTAAATATATATGTTTAACAAAATTAATATAATTTTGATTTTGTTTTTTAGGACTGGCTTCCAAATAATATGTCTGCTATCTCAGTATTCGATTTCAAAGATCCAATAAATTTAGTCAACTTTTTACATAATCTTTCTAATAATGAAATTGAATATAATAAATATTTATCTCACAAACTAATTGACAACTATGAAATAGAAAATGAAAGATTAAAAGAGGTATTAAAAAGAAGAAAGGAAAGGTTTTCTAATGAGTTTGGAAATTATGTTGAAGAGTTTGAATGTTTTGTTTGCAGAAGTATATATCAACCAAAGAAATCAAAAATTGTTGATGAGAAACATTATAACTGTCCACTGCCAAAAAATCCACTAACAAACAAAATTGATCATTCGAATTGGTGGACAAACCAATGGATTTTAGAAAAATGTAGTGCGACATTATTAAGTTATCATTTACAAAATAATCTTACAATTAACAAGAAAAATTTTGAAAAAGATAAAATGAAATTATATGACAGAAACGAATGTTGAATTTGTATATTTTTATAATGGACAAAATGGATTTCAGAAAAATGCAGTGTAACATTACTAAATTATCATTTGTACACAATGTCACAATGTAAAATAATTCTTATATTTTATAAAATAGAAATATTGTATATTACAAATATATATAATATATATATTATTATAAGGTTATCTTATTAACATCATTTTTATTCATTTGATTTCGTTTTATTTTAAAACTAAATCTATTTACATGTATATCATAATTTTTAAATTATAATTTTAAAACGATTTTAAATATGAAAAAAATAAAAGATTTAAAACAATAATAGAATAATATGCAAATTTATTTTTTTTAGTAATAATTACTGAAAAATAAAATAAAATAATGTTTGTTGTTGTTGCAATATAAGCTCCAATAGTTTGACAAACTAGAGATTTTATAAATATACAATAAAATAATTATACTACTATAATAATATAATTACACTACTACAATAAAATAATCATACTACTACTCATGATTTTTATTTATCATCATAAAAGTTGTGATGGATTAAATATATAAATTATATTATAGTTAAAGTTCTTATTCTGTTAAAATAAAAATATTAGTTTAATAAACAATAATTTATTTTAATTAATATATTAATATCGAGTAATATCATATTGAATATTTATTATGAATAAATATTAGTAAACAACAATGTTTTAATATCTTTTGTTCAAACTATCATGAAGATTATAATTCAAATATAATGAGAAATACTAAAGAATTCAAAATGCATTTTATAAAATATAACATATGAAAGAAATATTTTCATGTAATGAAAACACTGATTATCAAATTTAGAAAGAAAATATTTAGATAAATATTTTTTATACGACATGTTAAATGACACACATAAATATTATTCTATATTAGAAAGTTAATATCTATTTTTGAAGAAATAACCTATATTGATATTGATATTGTAAGCAAATAAATATCAAAACTTTACTTACCAGTTTAATGCAAAAATTCTAGAGAAAGCTTAATTTGGAATTTTATTTTGCAAAATAGGAGCAGGTACATTCATTAAATCACAAAGTTGATTTCTTATTGGTCGGAGTTCAGAAACTGATCGTTCCCAGTCAGTGACATTTAATTCAGTCAAAATTTTGATTAAATCTCGTTCTGGAAGATCCATTTCTTCCCCATAAAGAGTTAAAGCTTCATATGTCCTTATTGCAGCTACTTTTCGTATACATTTATATTTATGACAAAGAAAAATACTTAATTGACAAAATGCTCTTTTTGCAACTGGTCCATGTACCTGAAAAATTTGTTGCCATTTTAAAACTATTGTATTAGTTTTAATATTACACACTGGAATATAGTAAATACCTGTAAAAGTTGACAAAAAACATTTATACTGCTAATTAACAATTTGGTATTATTTGTATTCTTTATTTCTTGTTTAAGTAACATCAAAATCTGTTCTGCAATTCCGTTTTCAGAATCATCAAGAATAATTTGAATAGAACCAGAACTAAGTAAGCGATCTAAAAAAGCTAGCATCGATGTAATCATTCTTTCATTTTTATGACTCTCTTCAAAAATATCTAAAATTTTATAACATAAATTTTTGAGTCCCAATTCGTCTATTTCTTGTAAATAAGAAAATAAGGAAACACTAGAATATTTAACCTGAAATGAAAAGTTAGAAATGTATGAGTGAGTACCAAAAATAAAATACAATTATTTATATATTTCCATACCAAAGATTCACTTAGGCCACCGACACTAAATATAATTCCTCGTAAAAGATTCATTGTATAAGGAGAATAAGATAACATTTTAATAAATCGTGGAAATGTAACCGATTCCATTCGCCATTCTATACTTTCTTGGCATTCGTCATAAGGAAAAATAGTTTTTAATTCTGCATGATATGGAATGTTTGGTAAGGGAGGAACATTATGAATAAGTGCACTGAAAACAATTCCCGCTTGCGCCCGAATTCCATCGATTCTTTCAACAGCTTGTTGAGCAATTCCTCCAATTATATTTGCCATTAAGTTCTCATTTAATACAGAAAATAACTGTGCTTGTGATACCAAGTTTGTTAGTATCTGGAATTATTTGAGAAATCTTAATTTAAATAATTCACTAAATATATAAATATAGGACACTGAAAATATTTTTACATGTAAACCAGTCATTGCTGCTTCTCGTACCCAAGCTCCTATGTCTCCACGACTATCTATAGTATATTCTTTCAATGCTAATAAGTAACAACCATACAAGTCGTGAACATATATATGCCACTTATCTAAAAAATATAAGAATATTATTTACATAATATAAAATGTAAAGAATTAATTAGTTAGTCATTTTAAATTCTAATTTAATAAATAATAAACCTGCTTCTTTTACTCCTAGAGTTTGACAAACCATTATCAATGCATGGATAGCTTCTTTCCTACTTTCTGCCCATTTTAAAGTACTTTCTGATATTTCAGTACATTTAATAAGAGCTTCTATTATGTCTTTTACTCTTTCACAAATTATAAATAAAGGGAAATGGCCTACAAAAAAAATTATTAATTATTAAATAACCATAATTATGTAATTTATATTAAAATATCAATTAGAAGATATATTTATGTCAGAGTATCCCATTTAAGTCAAACATTTCAATTATTTTCAGTGCTATTAAAGTGTTACAAAAAAAAAAATTGACAGAGGCATATACATTAATTATTTTTTTTTACTTCCAATTCTATTTAATTGAAATTTTACTTTCAGTTCTGAAAATAATTTAGATGTTTGACATTTTATATAAAAGTCATTATCTCAAAAGTCATAATTGATATAGATTTAATTTTTACAAAAACTTTTTCACATTACCTATAGCTTGTGCAAAACCTATTCGAACAAGTTGATTACTCGATTGTAAATTATCAAGATACCGATTAATAACAATATTGCGATCTTGATTGCTCATACTTGCATAGTACTTTTGGAAAAATTCCGTGTGTGCTTCAGCGGCTTTTATTTTTACTACAGACACTTCATGTCCTAAACATTCTTCTAAAAGATTTTGCCAGTCATCTATAAATTTAATAAAATATAATTAAGTTAAATTTATATAATTTGTATCAATAATAATGTACTGTTTTCATATATATCAAATTATCATATATATATCATATATATATGATAATTTGATATATCATATATATCAAATTATTCATATATTATCAAAAATTATCAAAAATTATCAAAAATTATCAAACATTAATATTTTATTTTTAAATTTTATGTCAATGCATTATAAGTTGAATTTCAATTATATTTTCAGTATATATAATTGCAAATTTTTAGCATATATAATTGCAAATTTTTATTAATCCTCATCCTTCATTTTTCCAAATTAATTTGCCCTTTGGTATCAAATTAATACAATGGTAAAAAATTAATACCTATAATGAAAAGATAAATAGTTAAATTCTTTTAATTGTAAACAAATTAAATTTTTATTCAATTGCATATCAAATTCACACAAATTCTACTTTTATGTGTTCAATTTCATATTGTTATTTTATGTTTTCTTTATGTTTTATACAATGTTATGACCATTTGTTTCAGACTTTCATTTATTACATCTATATTCAAAACTAATATAATTTAGATCATAAACATCTATATGCATCTTCAAAAAGGTTGTACATTGAATACATAATTATGATATAATAATTACAAAGTAGTATATAGATATACTGTATATCAAGAACTCTAACAATAAATATCATTTGCATTTTATGTTTCATTTTGATAAAAATGTATCAAATTAAATGTATCAAAAGACAGATAAGGGTTAATATTTTATTGTATTTTTGTATATGTATACATGTATATATTTTTGTGTATGTATTCATGTATGTATTTATGTATGTATACATGTATAGATATAATAAAAGTAATGAAGGATATATATATAATAGATATTAACTTACAAATAATCTCGATAGAAATTGGAAAATGAACAATAGAACACTTTTTTATGAGTACAGCACATGCTTGTTTCATTAATTCTCCTCCTAAACCTTTGAATTGTCCTCTTTTTCTAAAAATGTTGACTATATTTCTGATATTTTCTACTGCCAAAAGTCCGATTATATTTTCAATTTCTTCGTTACAACAATTATATAGTGCTTCCAAGATTTCTGCAATGGCCAAAACTGCACCATGTCTAACATTTAAATCAATAGAATTTAGCATATCTAATAAATTTAATAAAATTGTATCCTTAATATAATTAGGATTAATAGGTGTTAGATTAAAGAGGGCTTTAGCTGAAAGTTCTCTAATTGCTGTGTCCCAGTGTGTGACTTTTCTGGTAATCAAATGATCAATCAAAGGCTTTGTATACTCTTCATATTGTGCAATTTGTGTACTAATTTTCAAGTATGCATGATTTCTAACTCCAACTTCAAAATAATCAGCAATTGTAAGTATTTCTATTCCATGTGGAAAATTTCCTTGTCTTCCCATATTTTCTTGAAATGCTGCAGAAGCAGCTCTTCTACAATTAATTTCTCGATCAAAACAAGTAACAACTATTAATGTAGCTGCAATCTCTTTTACATATGGTTGAATTATATCAGGATCATATGCTCTTGGGAATGACCAACAAATATAGCATGCTGCATCTCTGATCAAATATCCAATTGAGCCATAAGCTCTTGGTTCATCAAATACTAAGGCCTGAAGAACAACTGGTATCACATCATTCAAACGATGAGGAAGAAGAAGGCCACGTCTTCCTAATTCTGCTAATGCTAGACAACCACCATGCCAAGCAGAATCTGATTCACGACCACAAAATAGATTTAATACAAATCCTACAACATCATCTGCCAAATCCATTGGTAATCTTGCTGTTATTCTACCGATTCCTTTTGCGGCAGACCACCGTATTGTAATTGCTTTGTCTCTGAGACCTTGTATAAGTTGTTCAATTATATCTTCTATCGCTGATGGAATATCTTGATCATCATGATTTAACGGAACATTTTTAGCATCTTCTACACTTTCTGCAGTATTAGAGTTAGTATTAATATTAGGAACTATGCATATAGGTCTACTAGTTCTTTGATATCTCCACGAAGCCAATTTTGTTCCTAACAGCACCAGTCCAATTCGTTGTACAATTTTAATCCCAAACTTCCGTATAAGATCCGCAGGATTGTCGTTCAGATGAAATTGCAACACTTTATCCAAAATTGTTTGTATATATGGCTTAACATCTTCCCTTGCACTGTGCTTTAATATGGCTGCTACAACTGCTAATGGACCATGTCTTAAAAGATCATTTTCTGCACACTGTAAGCTCCACATTATCATTTCCTTCAGATACAATTTTTTTACATCTGATCTTGACAAAAAATTGGCGATTAGAAAAACTGCAGCCACAGCGCAGGCATCCTTTGACAAACAAAATAACTTGCACATTTTCAAGATCCTGACTATTATTGACTCTTCTGAATTAACATTGGAAACTTCTAAACGTGAAAGTGGAAATGGTATCTTTGAAATTATTGACAGCCAAATTAGAAGTACATATCGAGTTTCCCATGTCTCTACATCATTTGGATCCTGTTTTTCCAACATTCGCAGAACAGGGAGAAGGTCTGCTACCTGCATTGGATTAAATTTATATATTTGATGTTTGAAATATAACAAAGGAGAGGTAAGATAGCTAGATAGATATCAGACAAATCAGACAAATAGATACAGAAAAAAATCTGCATACCTCATGTGGAAGGTATGTAACAATTTTCTTGTACGTTTTAACAGACATCACAATGAAAATATATTTGAAAGCATTATGTCGCATAGTTTCTGTGGAACTTTCATCTCTGATGATACCGATCAACGGCTGTAGAATATCATCCAAATACGGGTCTAGTAGTTGCCTTTGGTCCTGGTATTGCGACAGAATGAAATTAAATCGATCTCGATTCTTCTCGATAAGGCTCGGCGAAAGATCAGCCTTTGTTAATTCCGCAATTAGAAAAGTCACTTCGTCAATTTCTTTGAAAGCGCTAAACCCACAACCGATTGTCTCCGATTCCAGACAATCGTTCAACACCATTTTTTCCCCTCACAACGTTTCGCGTTCTATTGAGAAAAAAAGCAAAGACAACTGTAATTCATTGCCATACGATCAAGTTTACGTGTGACAATTCGTAAAATGTTGAAGAACAAATTCTTTCGAATAAGTTCACGTGAAATGATGCCGACATTATGGCGCATGCGTGGCGGTACAATAAGCTTTTTATGAATTTTCATGTTATAAAATTTCCATATTTGATCTGAAATATGATTTTACAATTGATATTTCTTCCTCAATGATAAATATATATATATATATATAATTTATATATATATATATTTAACTTATATTTATAAAATTTATATTAAAAATATATATATATTTTTGAATATTTGATAAGTTTTGAAATAAAAACTAGTAACATTTAATAACTGTGAAAATAATATTTACAATATATTTTTTTAAAAATGTTTTTTAAAAATGTAACTTTCTTAGAGAAAGAAAATATTATTCCGCAGTTTTTGATTCATTTTGTTGTTTTTTCTGACTACATAGTTACAGTACATTTTATACACAAGACTTAAAACAAACTGATACAATTACAAGTAACATATTTTCTTTGTGTCAAGATTAAAAAATCAACCTGAATCATTTCATTCAAAAGTAATACAAATCAATTTTTTCACTTCTATAACATCTATTTGACATTTCAAGAATATAAGCTTTTCTCTATTTTGTGAAAGAATGCTGTGAGATGATGATTCGCACAAAGGAAATCATTGCATTTTAATGGTTCTCTTATTTTGTTTCTCGTTATTCAGGTATTGATTTTTTTCACTTATAACATTTCTATATTGAACAGTTCACATCCAAGTAACTTTATTGTAAATGACTGGTTTGATGTTTTAATCAATTAAGTTGTAAATGTAAATCTGATTACATGCTTAATTGATTGATTTATCGTTTCTTAATTCTGCATTGTATGTATATAATTTCTGCAATATAAATATTAATTTATAGGAGTATGTCCAATTTTTTCATCACTGACAACATTAAAAACCTCAATTTCAACTATAGTTCAAGTAAAGAAGTATCAAGTGATGTAGTATCAATTCTTTATACTTATACTAACAAATAATACTAATAATTGTATACTAACATACTAACATACTAACAACTGTAAAAATTAATACTTATTAAGCTAAATTGATCAAAAAAATATTTACCTATCACTGATTATAAAAATAAAACATAACTTAGATTTGGGAATAATTATTATGTTAAATGATAATAAATGATTTATGATAGTAAATTTTAAAAGATATAAGAATTATGAAAATAGTATGCAGTAGAGATAAACTTAGATTCAGCGCTAAATTGTAAGCATTATAAATTCTAACATTTGTACATTTTAAAAATGAAAATTATCACTCCAAGTCTAAGTGGATAATACATTATTTATTGTTGCAGTATGCTACTATGTATATTTTTTTTTATTTCTACAGAATTTATCGATATTTAATACGAACGTTGTTATAATTATTATTTTCCTTCTCACTCTTATATAATAAGAAACAAGTCCATTCTGAAATTTCAGTGCATTTTACAAATTCATGTGACATAACCTGTTGTAAGCAAGGAGACGGTATAATAATCGTAATTTATTTTTTTATCACATTATCATTGTACGTAATTAAATTCTGTAATTTATCATTCTTAAATGCCCAGCGTGTAGGAAATACCGAGAAACAAGTAAAAATGTTTGTCCAAGAGGTGAAGGTGCTGCCTAGTACCGTTTCATCGAAGCGGTAGAATCAAGAAGTGTTCTGTATTTCAGAAAAATGGAGGTCGTGGTTCAATCGAAATTGTGAATCTGTCTTGTCGAAGAGGGCTTAAATTGCGTTGTTTTTCATGTAATAACAAATTTCTGATACATTTTTCTCGATTCTTGATATTTTACTTTATTTATAAATCGAAACTCCAGAAAGTGAAAATCGATTTTTATGGAGTAAAATGCAGGAGAGACGGTATATCTCTATTGTACGCTTTTCTCAATATACTTTTAAATCTAAAATTTTTACTGAATTTTGAGGTATTCCAGCTATTGAGAAAAAAATAGTTTTTATTTTTTAGGTATAGTTTTTACATACAATTCCATAATTTTGTAAATAACACTTTCAACTTTGCAATTACATTTATCTCAATTTGTTTCTTCTTTAAGACACCTACTTTTTTTAGATTGTACAACATATAATTCATAAGTTTCAAAACTTTTTTTACTTTTTATAAAATTTAACATTATTGAGCTTGTGTAATTTTATAACGTATTATTTATTGCAGTTTTAGGAAGATAATACGTTGGATGTATAACACTCAATACAAAATGAAGTCGAAGGCAAAAGCAAAAAAGTCAAATAGGAAATTTGGGAAAATTACTCCTACAGGAATCTCTCCTACAAATTCAGATTTATCACAATTACGTCCACCAGTGGACACAAGTGTTTCAACTTTATATCGTGTTAGCAAAGTTTTAGAAACTGGCAGCGATGAAGTTAAATCTATCTTAGCATATGAATGTGATTTAATATATGAATGTCGCATATGCCAAAGCCTCTTTAGAAGTTTGATCAACTTTATTTCTCATAAACGGGTCTATTGTAAAAAAAAATTTGATGTTACCTTTGTTAAGAACTCTTCCAACGACTCTGACACAGTATGTATTATATATTATGATACAGTATTTTATTATATTTTAATATAAAAATAAGATTGCTACATTTATATATATTTAAACAATAATAATTTAAAAAGTATTTAAATAATAATTTAATTTTGATGAAATCTTAATAAAGTATATATATTAATGTTAGATTGAATATATTATAATAAGTTGTGCAGTAGAAAATACATGAAGGGATTTTCAAAATATCTAGAACTTTGTTTTTTATCAAAATTATGTAATATTTTCAGTTAGAAAGCACATAAAATGTTGGACAATATATAACTAAATGTTTTGATATGAATATTTAATGAAAAATAATAATTTTAATTATTATTTATATTATTATTTATATATGTTGAAGCTAAAACAATATTTAGCTATGTGTTATATATAATACATTATATATATGGATATATATATATGTATTATATTATATATGTATAATATATAGCTAATATTACTGTGAATAATATAGATATCAAAGATAAATTGTAAATAAATCAAAATATACATATCAAAATATAGATATCAAAGATAAATTGTAAACAAATAAAATATACATCAAAATATACATGCATATTTTACAGATTCCTACAAATAATTTAGATGCACAAAAGGCACAAAAAGTATTTGAAGAAGTTTGTGGAAACGATAGAATTTTAAGAAGTCAAGTCTGTAAAGAAAAGGAAAAGAAGGATCTTAGTACAGTTGTTAATATGTTACGAAAAAAACAAATAGAAACTTTGCAAACGAATACTGAACGATTATATTTGGAAACTGTACATTCAAATTCATCAGCAGTTTATCAAACTATTGAATCAGTGGTTTCAAGTGAGAATTTTACAGATTTAATGAAGGCGCAGGTACGAATAAATAATTATAATACATTGAACTAATTAGAATTATTTTGATTGTTTTGTCATTATATTATCAATTGATTAATGCTTCAATTCCAAATAATACTAATAGGTAACAGAGTTACAAGGTATAAATGAACAAACTGCAGTGTTAGATCAGAATGGTCAAGTTTCAAAATCTACTCAAAAGTTGAATAATAATACAACAACTCAAATTTATAATAATAAAAAAAGTGATTGTATTCTTGAAAACGAACTTATTTGTCCTATATGTATGTATTTATTATTTTTCTACTATACGTGTAATAATGTACTGTAATTGATTTTTTGTCATTATAATTTCATTATTGTTTAATTTTTAGGTTGTGCAAAATTCTCTACAAAAAAAACGTTAACAGTTCATACAAGGACACTGCATACATCTCATAGATTATGTTACCCATGTCCTTGTTGTTCTAATACATTTGCAAATACATGGAGTGTTTATAGGCATCTTTTTAAAGGTGTGAGAAGTTATACTATTTTTATTTATGAATATTGTACAGTATTTTAGATAGATATTTTAAGTTGCTAAAGTCGAAAATGAGATTGAACTGTTTTGGAAGTTCGACCTTGTAGACATTTGATTTAGGTTTAGGCATTCTTACAAAGTTCCCAGTTTTAGTTTCATATTTCCAAAAATTTATATAGAGTGTCATGTAACTGATAGTACAACTCACAGGCTGATCACAGGGTAATGCTATATGCAAAAGAATTTTTTTTCAAAACTTTGTTTTCGAGAAAATTAAGTTTAAAAATGTGACAAATTTATTTGAATTTAATATGAAATTATTTTTTAATATAGAATTTAATATAAATTTAATATGAAATTACTCAAGAGTGAATAATTCAATTAAATTTTTTCCGTTTAAAGTCTCGTCTTCAGGAAAATAGAACGTGTGTATGTAGTTAAGAATCACTTTAGTGTATTTGATAAATTTTTAGATTTTCTTGAATATTATAAAATAAGCTTTTGTTATTTACGCTTACAGTTATTCACTTCCGTCTAACCAAATTCAAATATATATGATAAATTTTCATACTCAGTTTTCTAGGAAATAAAAATGAAAAAAATTTTATTCTTTTTTTTTAGATTTATTTTTTCATAATTATCTTTTTTTATACGATATTTTACATGGCCTTTACTAACATCCATATTACTCTTTAATAAGATCTGGTCATTTCTTTTATTTTTTTAGGTTTTGAACTGAATATAATATGTTGTGTAATTGTTGAACAGTGTATATGTATAGAAACTTTCCATGATCTTTATTTTCGATTTTAGCAATCTTAAAAACCGCTAAAAATCTCTTACAATATTTTGCAATCCGCATGTTGTAGTTTTATTAATTTTATTAATTTCTGTTAATAATTACATAATACTAAATTTAATTAATTTCATAATTGTAAAAAAAATTATAATTTTAATAATATAAATTACGTTGGATTGAAAATTTCATTAGAATTAAATTAGCTTTTTACAATTTTTTTAAAATGGAATTTTAAAATTTAAAATGCAGTTCACAAAAAATCCAATGAAGAAGTACGAAAGCTAAGATCGCAAATTCAAGAAAAAGCATTTATTAAAAATACTACAGTTGCTGAAGATTTACAAAAGGAGGATGCTAACAAAATATCAGCGAACAACGCATTAAGAGTTAATGAAACACAGGTATTTTAATTGTCGTAATTATATCTCAATTTTTATTAAAATATTGTTAATTATACATTTGATAGGAATGGATAGATCATTTAGAATCAGATACAGAATTACAAAGATGCGGTGGCTGTGGAAAAAGATTTGATAGAAAAGCAGCTCTGTCAGCTCATTTACAATATTGTCATAGGCGTGTTGCAGCGTATGAAAGTACGACTAAAGTTAAAAAAGTCAATAAAGTTCCATCAAACAGTGTTCCAAACGAAAATACAATTGTTAATTCAGGAAGTAACAGCGCTACACAAATTAATAACACTAATGTAACATCCATTCATGTGGCAGCAATTGGCAGTTTAAGTAAAACAGATTGGGATATGTTGAGTAATGAAAAATCTAATGGAAATGTTCTCGTGAATGGAGAACAAAGAAACAAGATGACAGATAATCTTTCTTCTGCAAGTGAGGTTTCTGGTTCTTTAGAAATTGTATATACTAATATAAACAAACATAAAGTTAAAGTTGGGAGTAAAAAACGAAAAAATAAGGATAGTACAAAAAGATTGAATAATAATACAGGTAAATATCTTATATTTGTAAGATTTAATATTTGTGTCAAAGTATTCATGTACATAAACATATTTCATAAATTTTTTTATTCTGATTTTTGGTGTTAATATAATACATTATTTCTAGAAAATATTAAAAAAGATATATCTTTGGAAATAAGTATTGGGCACAATAATAAAGAAGCTGAAAATCATGTATTACTAATGGAAAAAAAAATAGCTTCAATAGTGAACTTTGAAAAGCTTCAGTGCCTTCCGTGTAAACGAAAATTTCCTTCAGTGAATAATTTAAGAAAACATGCTGCCATTCATATTGGTTGGAATCGTTATCAATGTAAACTCTGTGATTATAAATGTTTCGTTAAATGTGATTGTATAGCACATTGCAATAAAATTCACAATGCTCAAAATAATCGTGTCGTCATAGACGAAATGATAACTCAAATTCCAGACGATCAATACATGTGTGACGAAAATGTTATGTCGAATGGAACGAACTTAGAAAAGGAGATTGACGCTCCAGAAGTTGTAGAAGTCAACATTTCTGCAGAAAATATGGAGGTAGAAGTCGAAATGGCAAAGGGAAATGTAAATGAAATAAAAACTGAAACTAATAAGAATTCAATAGTGATTTATGAAAATGGTGAAACTCAAGAAACGTTGAATCATAATATCAAAGGAAATACTTTGGAACTAAATCCTGATCTTAAAAAAATGGTGATGGAAGTTATCTTTGGATCTCCTGAAATTCAGTCTACAAAACAAACGAATGCAAAGGAAACTGAAATTTCTAGTTCACAGTTACGAAATAAGGAAGAAGAAACACAGTTTAAGGACTCTAATTTACAGGAAAATACATGTACACAAGACAATCCAAAAACACAACGCCCTATACGTAATAAAATAAAACCACTAAACAAGGATTTTATCTATGATTTAAAAGAAGTTACGTACCGTAAAGATCCTTTAATTATGAAATCTTTCAACAAACAGCTTGCTAAAAGATCTCCAATACAGGAAGAAGATAATTTAGAAAAAATTGTAGATCAACCGTCCAAACGTTTCAAAGCTGAGGAAAGTGATGAAATACCAATTCTTTGTGAAAATACTACTAATACTATAGTAGATACATGCGAAATTAAACATAATTGAGATTTTAAAAATAATTCTTTTTCTTTAAAAATAGTCACAATTAGTTAATAAAAATTGTGAAATCTTAGTGGAATATGCATTCAATCAAAGATACATCGTTTAAATTAATATTACTTATTTCAGAAAACAAATTTTTAATAAATTTTAAAATATTATTCTTCATAAATATAATATACATACATTTTATTAATGTTGGTAAGTTTATTAATGTTGGTAAATTTAAGCCACTTTTAAAATATTAGATATTTCATTCACTTTTGTATATTTTTCAGAATTAAAATTTTCAACGTACATATATTTCTCTAGAAAATAAATAATTAAAAATATTAACATTTTCATACTGAAATTTTTATTATCTGTTGCATGTAAGTTTATTTAAAAAATTACTTGAAATATGTAATAATAACAAAATTTAATTAAATATCAAATGTAATATTACATTTTAGCTAAGAAAATTAAAGGAAAATATTGAAGTAATAAAATGTTCATTTATTTTGTTTGTTAATACAAATATATCATAGCAAAATGCATGTATAAATTTTTAGATAGATTAGTTAATTATATTTAATGATAATTTAAAATAAATAATGCTTTCAGCAACTTCATATGAAATCAATAAATTCATTATATTATATATTGTATATTTATCATGTTCTAAATTATTCTAAACAATGAACTATTTTTGCTACATAATTTAGTGCTATAGCTTAATGTTATTTTTCCAATTTGAAATTGAAAAATATATAGTAATAGAAATTTCTAGGAATTAATGGTTGATAAATCTCATATAAAGTGCTGTAAAAAAATTTAAATGTGCTATATAAAAATAACATATAGAATAATGTAAAAGTAAGTAGTAAACTTTATAACAAAGAACATGATTTGTTTATATACATGTATAAATAGATGATGGTTGAAAAGGATCAGCTTGTAAAAATGAATTGTAAATACATGTGCTGGTTACAATTATAATAAAAAATGTCTATAACACTTGAATGAATTTTTAACATTTTATTAAACAATAAATTAATTTTGTAACTTAAGATAATAAAGTAATAATCGTAAAAGTAATATCTATATTGCGTAGATATTTTTACATGCATATTTTTACTGTATCTATATTTGTATAAAAGCGCGAAAGCGGTTCGGCGGTATGATTTGCCTACGTTTGAGAAGCTGGCTTCTGATTAGTCAACGAGGCTCCTATCACAGCAAAGTTGCCGCCATTGGTAGAACTACCGCGACAGGTACTTGTGGTAGATGCGCGGCAAACAGCATCGAGAGACAACGTTTCTTTCTCTTGTCCGTCTTCGAAAATCTGTTAGTACGAATGACGCCGGTAAAATTACTACAATTTGGCTCTCATATCTTTACAATGGTGATAAATAGTGACGTGATGTGAAGTGCATTATTTATATTAATCGTCCGATTTTCTGGAATCTTTTGCTGAAGAATCTTAGGTGCGGTATCGTAAACGTAAGTCATCTGTTCTTTTGCTTCTTTCTTTTCCTATCTTCCGTTAACAAATTGCTACCTTCATTCTCAAATTCCTATTATCACATTAATTAAATGTAAACATTTCGTTTAACTATTCTTTGTACGAAATTTATATTGTTATACAATTATATTATTTTTTGTTTTTGTTTCTAACGTGGCTTTTTGTATACTTTGCGCCCTATTCATTTAATCATAATACATATATGCATACGTAACATGTATGTATGTATAAACATATATAATTGCAAGAATTATAAAAACGAAATGTTAGTTCTTTGTATTCGATAAATTTTATGAAAATCTTTTTTAAAAGAATTTAAAATTGACTCAAGATTAGTATAATGTACATTAAAAATAATATAAACAAAAATATCTGATATTGATATAAAAATATAACTATGAATATTAATTAGAAGTGTCGATTATTTATTTTTTTTTCTTTATTATCTATTTATTGCTTATTTATGTTGTTTTCGTTATTTAAAATAAAACTTTTTAAATCGAAATAAAAAAATCAGTTAGTTTAATGAGGATTTATGTATAAAAAAAATTTATATATAAAAAATTAATGTAAACTGAAAAAATTATTTTTTATTCTTTTATTAATTCTTCATTAATAATTTAATTCTTCATAAATAATTCGAAATTATAAAAATAAAAAAATTAAAGTTTAAGATATAATATAAAAATATATATATATTTTTTATATTAATTATTTTTTGTATATAAATATTTATTAAACTAATTTATATATATTTATTTATAACAAATAGCAGTTTATGTATTCTAAATTTTAATTTTTTTATTTTAATTTGTTTATTCTTATACATAAACTTCAATTTAAATCGCGATTATATTTTTATATTGGTTAAAATATATACACATATAGTTCTATTAACATTAGTTTTCATGAACGAACTAACATTGTTTTTCTGATTTATTTCTCATAATTATTGTTTCTCTTATATTCTTTTTATTTTATACGTGTATAAAATTTTATTGTTAGAATATAAAAATAACACTTTCCGTGAACGTAATGCTCGCTTCATTTCTTTTTAACAACATATCAATAATTAACCTGCTAACTATGTTTGGCGAGTATGCTTGCACCAAAAGAAGACTAATTAATTTTTGTTGTTTAAATGAAAATTCTAGTGAAAACTAAGAATTACGTGTAATATTCTAAAAATATTTTAGAATATTTCGATCGCCAGAATGAAATAAAAAATAATAAGAAAAAAGAGAAATAAAGATTTATTTAATTAATTCCAGTTATTGTGTAAATGATTCGGTAATGTTGTTCTGATCAATTTTTTTCTATTCTGTATTAGAATTCAATAAACTTATGAATATTCAAGACTTGTCAATAACTTTGAGCAATGAAATTATAGATTTTTCAAAAAAAAAAAGAGACAATTTCCATTGAGTGCATTTAATTAACTGAGTGCACTTAATTTAATTTAATTTAATTTGATAATAATAATATAATAATAACAAAGGCAAACTTAATTTAATTTAATAATTAAATCATTGAAATCAAAACTCACTTCCCTGTGCTCGTCTTGTAACGAGGTGTGCGACTTTCCCTTCTTGGAAATAGCTCTCCTTTCTTCGCTGTCTTTGTCTTTCTCATTCTACTGTCCCTTCTCTTTCCTTTGCTCTCTTCACCTCCTGTTCTATTTCTATGTGTGTTTCGATAAGACAACACACTTGTGTAGTATCTTTCTAAGAAGTTACACGTTATGTTTACGTTTCTTTTCTCTTTTTTTTTTTTTAATAAATCGTACTAGTAATCGTACTAGTAATCGCTGTTGACAAATTTGATTTAATTATTTAAGAATCAATTGAATTCCTAAATTACAATTTATAATTGCGTAGTTTCAATTAATCTTCCCCTATTCACAAGTTTAACATAGTTAATCATTTATTATATTTATATCGATATTTGAAGCATTAATTAAATTCAATAATTGATTAATTAATTTTAATTAAATTCAGCAGAGAATAAATAAATATCAATATGCAATATTGAGTTATTCTATATCTTTTTAACAATTATGATGTATTTCTTGGTTTACATTGATGAAAGCTTTGATAAAAGAAATTAATTTGAGCAATATCTTTAATATATTAGTCAGGCAGAAATAGGAATAAATAATTTGATTTCTTATTGAAACATAACTTGTGAAAGTGAAAGATATTTTCTCTAAAAGTCGACAAATCCCATTACGTCAGGATGAAGTCGACGAGTTTAAGAAAGAAAGTGTCAGATAAAATCTTTCCGTTGTAATTATACTGTTCCACTACTCGCGAATTATTATTATAACTATTATTTCACAGTGATAATTAATAATACGTTTTCCACTCGTTTTTAATACAAAGTGCAACAACAAAATTAAAACTCATGGTAACGTGAATTTAGAAATAACGAATTATATCTATATAATTTATTTATGTAAGTTATGTTAGCTATAATATAAAAGCTATAATATAAAAACATTATGTCTAAAACAAAATCTATTAATTATAGGTAAATTAATAAATTATCTAGGCAATCTAGTATTACAAGTAAATTTGTCTGCTAATTAATTATAAATATAACTCGTAACTGAGTATGATCGGACAAGACAATTATTCATAATTGTAATATCAAAAAATTTCAAAAATTTTTCTGCGGGAGAAAGATAATTATTATGATAGCTTAGCTATTAAATAAAATTATGCGATTACACGTCTTTTTGTAAAAATGGTAAAAAAAGAGTAAGTTTTGTAAGTGAGAAATAATAGAAATGGAAAATAGAAAAAAAGTAAATCTGCTTTCTAATTTGTCAGATTCTATTGATAAAACGAACGACTTTCTAATGATACTAACTTTTTATTTCTGAAATGGAGAAGCTAAAAATATTGTGGATGAAATATTGTCGTTGTGTTACATTTGTTTACCATCAATTTGAATCACATAAAGATTATAAGGGATGGATTCGAAACTAACTCTCGAGATTTGAAGTGCTGATTTTATTTTAGAGGAATTTCTCATTTTAAAGAGTTAAAAAAAAAGATTTATATAAACGTAAGAGTTAAGTTTTATTGATTGTTTTACAAACAAAAACATTTAATCCAGATTCTCGTTTAAAGGCACTAATATCCGAACATTTATCCTGATCTAATCTTACATGGTTCTCTTTTTTCTTGTCGACTGTAGCAGTGCCGGATGTACTGAAAAGTATCTTTCAGAGTATGGTAGTGTAATAAGATATTTTACATTTACAATATCATTCCAAAATCATGATCGATCGCACATCTGCTCGTATTAAAAATGAAAACCGATCACCGAACATTCGCGAAGTATCTCGCACCGAACATTCTATATATATATATATATATATATATATACACACCATATTTATATATTATATATACCATTCTATATATATGGTATGTATATATACATATGTATATATATATCATATATAAATCACCGAACATTTGCGAAGTATATATATATATGGTATGTATATATACATATGTATATATATGGTATGCATATATACATATATATATGATATGTATATATATATGTATATATATACATATGTATATGCATAT